TGGCTAGTATTCGTTTGGTGTATTTTCTCTTTGTGGTATGCAGATATTCTCCAGCTCTTCCTTTATTTCTGCACCAGGTATGATGTTCAGCCCAGCACCTTGCTGTCTCACCTGCACATGTGTCAACAGCTCCAGCCGCAGTGATCAGCGTGGAGCACCACATGCTGGTTGGGGCGGCCCCCTCCAGTTCAGGCCAAGGCTGATTCACAGTGTCTGGGAGCTGGGATTTGAATGCTGGTGTCTTGGAACATCTGACAGGAGGCTGCAGGTGCACCTGGAAAATGGGGGTGCAAGAGGTGGAGGTTGCACCATCATATCTACCTCACAAGGCTTTTGTGTTTTAGTTAGGGGTTGCTTCGTTTTGCCAATCATAGAGACTGGAAATGACAGTGGCTTATACCAGATTGAGGCTTATTTCTCTCTTATATAAAGGATGTCAGGAGATAGGCATCCAGGACTGGGGGGAAGGAGGCTCAACTGTGTCTTGAAAGCACCAAGTCCTAATTTCCTCATTTATTTTAACTTAAGAGAAAATTGAGGTATGATTTATATACAGGAAAGGAAATTAAATGCATGGATTCTAAATGTATAGTTTGATGGATTTACATATGTGTATCAAACATGCCCAGCATCCCAGAAGTTTCCCTCGTGTGTTCTCTCCCAGTCACCAACCCTTCCTCCCCCAAGGCAATCACTACCCTGGCTTCTGTCACTAGGGACTGGTTTTGCCTGTTCTTACCCTTCATTTGAACAGAGCCATAGAGCATGTTGTCTTGCTTTTGGCCTCTTGGACTTAGTGTAAAGCCTGTGAGATTCATCCAGGTTGCGGCACATATATCAGCAGCCGATTCTTTTTATTGCTAAGTAATGCTCTATGGTGGGGAAACACACTATTTGCTTATTCTTTCACTTGTTAATGGACATTTGTGCTGTTTTCTGGCCATAGTATAATGAATAAAGCTGCAATGAGAATTTATGTCTAGTCTCTGCGTGGACACGTGCTTTTACTTCTCTTGGATAAATCCCTTGGAGTGGAATGGCTGCAGCCTTGTGAGAAACTGCCGAACAGTTCTTCAACAGGGTGAACCACTGACAGTCCTATTGGCTTTGTGGGAGAGTTGATCCTCATCCTTCTGTGCAATATTAGATACTATCAGTCTTTCACATTTTGACTATCCCTTTGGGTGTTTGTGGTTTCCTTTTGCATATATCTCTGATAGCTGCTAATTAGAGTATCTTTTTGTGCATATTGGCCATTTTAATGTTCCCTTTTGTGAACTGCCTCTTCGTATCTTTGCCTACTAAAACATTGTGATTTTTTTTCTAATTGATTTGTAGAAGTTCTTTATATGTGCTGGATACTAGTCCTTTGTCAGATATAGGTACTGAATTATCTTCTCTGCATCTGTGTATTGGCTTTTATTTCTCTTAATGATGTCTTTGGCTGAATATAAGTTCTTAATTATTACAAAGTCCAATTTACAAATTTTTCCTTGATGGTTAATGTTTTTGTGTCATGTTTAAAAACACTTTTCCTCCCCAAGGAGTCTTTCTTTTTTCTTTCTCTTTTTTTTATTGAAGGATAATTGCTTTACAAAATTTTGTTGTTTTCTGTCAAATCTCAACATAAGTCAGCCGTAGGTATACATATATCCCCTCCCTTTTGAACCTCCCTCCCATCTCCCTCCTCTTCCCACCCCTCTAGGTTGATACAGAGCCCCTGTTTGAGTTTCCTGAGCCATACAGCAAATTCCCACTGGCTGTCTATTTTACATATGGCAGTGTAAGTTTCCATGTTACTCTTTCCATGAATCTCACCCTCTCGTCCCCTCTCCCCATGTCCATAAGTCTATTCTCTATGTCTACTTCTCCACTGATGCTCTGTAAATGAATTCTTCAGTGTCATTCTTCTAGATTCTGTATATATGTGTTAGAAGATGATATTTCTCTTTCTCTTTCTGACTCATTTCACTCTGTATAATAGGTTTTAGGTTCAACCACCTCATAAGAATGTGTTCCTTTTTATGGCTGAGTAATATTCCATTGTATATATGTACCACAACTTTTTTATACATTCATCTGTCGAAGGACATTTAGGTTGCTTCCATGTTCTAGCTATTGTAAATAGTGCTGCAATGAACAATGGGATACCTGTGTCTTTTTCAACTTTGGTTTCCTCAGGGTATATGCCTAGGAGTGGGATTGCTGGGTCATATGGTGGTTTTATTTCTACTTTTTAAAGGAATCTCCATACTGTCTTCCATAGTGACTGTATCAATTTGCATTCCCACCAACAGTGCAAGAGTGTTCCCTTTTCTCCACACCCTCTCCAGCATTTATTGTTTGTAGACTTTTTGATGATGGCCATTCTGACTGGTGTGGGGTGATGTCTCATTGTAGTTTTGATTTGCATTTCTCTAATAATGAGTGTTGTTGAGCATTTTTTCATGTGTTTGTTAGCCATCTGTATGTCTTCTTTGGAGAAATGTCTGTTTAGATCTTTTCCCCACTTTTCGATTGGGTTGTTTGTTTTTCTGGCATTGAGTTGTATGAGCTGCTTGTATATTTTGGAAATTAATCCTTTGTCAGTAGTTTTATTTGCTATTATTTTCTCCCATTCTGAGGGTTGTCTTTTCACCTTGCTTATAGTTTCTTTGCTGTGTAAAAGCTTTTAAGTTTAATCAGGTCCCACTTGTTTATTTTTGTTTTTATTTCCGTTACTCTAGGAGGTGGGTCATGGAGGATCTTGCTTTGATTTATGTCATCGAGTGTTCTGCCTATGTTTTCCTCTAAGAGTTTTATAGTTTCTGGTCTTACATTTAGGTCTTTAGTCCATTTTTAGCTTATCTTTGTGTATGGTGTTAGGAAGTGTTCTAATTTCATTCTTTTACATGTAGCTGTCCAGTTTTCCCACATCATTATTGAAGAGGTGTCTTTGCCCCATTGTATATTCTTGCCTCCTTTGTCAAAAATAAGGTACTCATAGGTGCATGGGTTTATCTCTGGGCTTTCTATCTTGTTCCATTGGTCTGCATTTCTGTTTTTGTGCCAGAACCGTACTGCTTTGATGACTGTAGCTCTGTAGGATAGTCTGAAGTCAGGAAGGTGGATTCATTCAGCTCCGTTCTTCTTTATCAAGACCGCTTTGGCTATTCGGCTTTTCCTCCCCGAGGAGTCTTTTAACACAGGACTCCATCTGGCCTCACCCCACCTGGCTGCTCTCCCTGCCTCCCCATCCTCTATCAGAAGTGCCTCCCAGGAGCAAGGGGTGAGGAAGGCAGAGACGGGATGGCAGATCTGTGGGGAAGAGCAGGGTTAAAGCCTCCCCAGAATACGAGATCTGTGTACCCACCCCCTTCCTTCCCTGTGTGGATTTGGGTTTATGCTGGGCTGCAAGATTAAAGCCAAAGAGATTAAAAGATTACCTCTGACAGGGAAGGCAAATTCTGCCTCTTTGCTCCTAGAGCCATGAGGGGGAGGGGTGAGAGTGTTACTGGGGTGCAGCTTGAGGGGTGGTAGTGATGGAGCCATCTCCACTACCAGGGTCCTCTCCTTCCTGCTGAGAACTCTGCCTCCTGGAAGGCTGAAGCCTGGGCCACTAGCTCATCTCTCTGAACCTCTGATCCCAAGTTATAAAGGGCATGGGGGGCTGAGCTGGATACTGAGCACCAACATAGACTTTAGTGGGTCCTCGAATTATGAGCCCCAGACCAGGGGTCCCCGCATCAGAAATATACACTTCAGGCCCCTTCCCAGACCTATTAAGGCAGAAACTTGGGGGATGGAGTGGGGAGAGCAATCTATGTTTTAAAAGCCCTCCAGGGCATTCTGATGCACACAAATGTCTGAGCACCAGTGCCTTTAATTATGGTAACAATTGCTAATTTTTAAAGCATTTAACTGTGCTCACCAGTGACTCTGCTAAAGAGTATGCACCCCCTCACTTACGGTGCTATTACTCACCTTACTTTACACATGAGGAACTGAGACCAGAGAGGTGAAGCGTTTGCTCAGGCTCACACAGATACTAGATGACTGAGCCCAGACTTGGACTCCAGGGGGCTGGCTCCAGAGGCTGAGTCACTAACCACTGCTCGAAACTGTTTTGAATTCTCAGTGCTGTGCATCCTGGCCTTCTCAGAAGCCCACAGCTTTTGTCAGTGGCCCCAGGGAGTGGTGACTCCAAGAGGCTGACTGTTTCAGGTGCCCCTGGCTTGCAAGGTCCTTTCTCAGCTTCCTCAGGGCTCGCTGACCACACATCTTCCTGCTTCCTTTCCCTGCCTCCTGGAGCGGCTGGGAGCCCCCTTGGCTGAGGCTGAGGGAAGCGGTTGCTGAGAGCTGACCTCAGCTGCAAGTAAGCCAGAACCACAGACAGGGACCCGCCGCTCCACGTCTCAGAAATTCATTTATGTCTCAGTTCATTCCCTCATTTCAGTGTTTAGTGATCAGAGCAAAGTAGAGGCCAGCAGAAAGCCAGAGGCAGAGAGAAAGAAGGGGGAAGAGGAAACCTGTCCATTAATTTTACGATTCTCCCTGCTAGTCCCCTCCTGTCACTAGGGATGCTGAAAAAGCCCAACCCCCGAAGCTGGAAAGTGATCAAGGAACAGTCAAGGCCAAGATGAGGAGGCTGATTTATGGGGCCAGCAGTGGGGAGCGGGAGTGAGGGCACCAGCTGCAGGAGAGAGCAATTCATCACAGCTCCCAGGGAGACGGGAGGGCTTCCACTGGCCTAGCCCCCACTGGGCTCCCTGGCCTGCCCTGCTCTCAGGAGGATGGAACTTATCTTTGGGGCTCCCAGTACCTCTCACTTTTCTCTCCCAGTTCTCCTGGGTCTGTAGCCTCTTTGAACCTTTTGAGTTGGGGGTGGGATGGGAAGGAACAAAGAATACAGCCCTAGGCGAGTCCCTTCTCTGAGCCTCAGTTTCCCCATCTGTAAAACCAGAGCCTCAGCCCAGCTGGTCAGCCTCACAGGGAGGTTGTGGAGGAGAAAGGCCGTGGCCATGAGTTGCAAAGCCCTGTCCCACCCAAGAGGGGACAAGCGTGAGGTGGGAGTGAGGACCTTGCCTCCTACTGCTGTGGTCCTGGGTTCTTCATGTGGAGGTGTGTGCCGGGCACACAGGGCGGCTGCAGCCGAGGTTCTGTGGGTGCAGCTGCGTCCACCTGTGCATAAACATGGTGCGTCCAAAGCCACAGTCGAGTGTATGGAGCATGCGCAAGTGTGCATGTGTGCAGACACACATGTGTACGCGTGTGCAGCTGTACTGACACCTGTGAACTCCAGCTCATGTAATCTCTCCAGCCCCACCAGCCTGGGGGGACTGCTCTGGAGAGGTGGTGGGGGTGTGGCTGGGTGCTTATTCACGGGCCCCATCCAGCTGGTTATTTATTGATTAATTCTGCTGCCAGCTGATAGATGCCAAGCCTGTGCCAGACGCAGGCCCTGGGCTGATTTACATAATTAAAAACCATCAGTAACAGAGCAGGGCCTCACCCGCCAACTGTTTCCTCTAGCATGACAGGCCCAGCCTCTCTCCTCCACCCCTCCCTGTCCTCTGCACCCTCCCAGCTCCCTCCCCTTCCAAACCCCCTCACCCTCCTGGCCTGCTCTGTTGCAGTCTGCTGGCCTGGGCCCCTCCATGACATCAGCCGCCACCCAGTCAGTGATGGAGAGCTCGTAGTGTTCTGGGATTCTCCAGTCACTGACTCCAAGATGCTATTAGTCGATGGTTCTAAGGTTCTTTGATGGAAAGCCTCAGATTATAAGATTCAGCTCTGATCCTCAGAGTTGTGATTTTTCAAGAGTCTATTACTCTGTGTGACAATGGGGAAATGATGTTTGTTCTCAGCAGCTCTGCCTGTGCCCGGGGAGGGGGGGCTGCTCTCCGGAGGGCCTGGCTTTCCGTGGAGGCTGCCATGGTGGATGGGCTGGGTCAGGCCCTGCTTTCCAGGAGGAAGAGAAGTGCATCATGGCAGAGGGCTGGGGTTGGGTGGGGGCTGGGCAACGCGGAAATCTGGCAGAAGGAAGGAGGACCCAGGGATACCCGAGGAGGTCTGGAGGGAGAAATCCTTGCTGATGTCCTAGGCTCCAAGAGGGATTTGGAATATATGGGATCCTGTGGAGTGTGGACATCGGTCCCTTTGATGGTGTCACCTTCGGTGTCTCCAAAAAAGATTCTGGCATTGAGAGAGACAGTCTGCAGGGAGGAGTGTAGACTATTCTATTTCCCAGCTGTGTGATCCTGAGGAAGCTACTCAGCCTTTCTGAGCTTCAGTTACCTTCTCACCTGTGACATGGGGTTTGTTGTAAGGATTAAGTATTAAGTTCTGGGGACTTACCTGGTGATCCAGTTGCTAAGACCTTGTGGTCCCAATGCAGGCAGCCCCGGCGATTTCTGGCCGGGTAACTAGATCCCACATGCCTCAGCTAAGAGTTCACACATCAAAACTAGAGATCTTGCGTGCCTCAACTAAGACCTGGCACAGCCAATAAATAAATAAAATAAGTAAAAAAAAAAAAAATTAACTTCTGTAAATTGGAATGCAGTTGGCACCTGCTGAACCCCTAATTGTGCAGGTCCTTGGGGGAGATGAGTAGGAGGCTGGTCAGATATGGTGAAAGTCCAGACACACAGAGGGTTGGGTTTTCCCATTTTTGCAGGCCAGCTCCAAGTGGGGCTGGTGCTTGGAGGATGTTGGCCGAATGAATGAGTGATTCTTCTCTCAGCTCTTCCCAAACACAATGCCAACCCCAGCCAGCCCTCAGCCAACTTGGGCAGGGTGTCTGGGACTCATGGCTGCTCTCGGGTGGGCCCCCGGGACTCGCACTCACCTCCTGCATCTGTCCCGTCTCTGCCTCCTCGGCTCCATTCACACAGCGCAGCTCTGACCCTCAGCAGTGAGGCCTGCCCCGCCCCCAACCACCTCCAAGACTGGCCATAATTTAAAACATTGAAATAAAGTGTGTTTAAAATTAACAATAGACTGTAAGATGGTGCAGCCACTGTGGAACACTGTTTGGCAGGCCTTCAAAAAGTTAAACAGAATTACCATATGATTTAGCAATTCTACTCCTAGGTATACACCCAGAGGAATTGGAAAGTACATCCTCTGAAAAAGCAAAAGCTCAAACAGCTTGTACCCCAGTGTTCATGGTAACATTATTCACAATAGTCAAAAGATGGAAACAACCCAAATGCTTATCTGCAGATGAATGGATAAACAGAGTACAAAACCTTTGCACTTAGTTGCCTCAGTCGTGTCTGACTCTTTGTAACCCAATGGACTGTAGCCTGCCAGGTTCCTCTGTCCATGGGATTTTCCCAGCAAGAATACTGGAGTGGGTTGCCATGCTCTCCTCCAGGGGATCTTTTGGACCCAAGGATTGAACCCTCATCTCCTGTGTCTCCTGCATTGCGGTGAATTCTTTACCACTGGGCCACTGGGGAAGCTCACAAAGCATATATAAAGGTATAAAAAATACAAGTACATAGAATGGAATATTAGTTAGCCTTAAAAAAAGAATAAAATTCTGATACATGCCACCACATGGATGAACCTTGAAGACATTATGCTAAGTGAAGAAAACCAGATGCAAAATGACATTTGATTTCCATACTTTTTTCAGTCAAACTTGCAAATTTGATTCCAGTCAAATTCAATTTTCCATATTATACACTCATGGAAGTGTATGATTCCACTTATATAAGGTACATAGAATAGTCAAATTTGTAGAGACAGGAGAAGAGGTTGTCAGGGGCTGGTGGAGGGAGAAATGAGAAGTTAGTATTTAATGGGTATAGAGTTCCAGTTTGGGAAGATAAAAATATTCTGGGGGTGGATAGTGATGATGAATGTACTTAATGTACATTAATGAATGTACTTAATACTTAATGGAGCATACTTTTTAAAATGGTCAACTTTTTAATGTATATTTTAGCACAATAAAAGTCTTCTTTGCAACTGAGGGAGATGATTTTGTTTGTAATCCTTCTTTTTTATTTTTATTTTTTAATGTCCACCATTGATCCTCCAGGCTCCTCTCCTTATCCCCAGCACATTACAGGACCCCACTCATGCTTTGCTGAATGGATGAACCAGGCCTCCCATCTGGCCCCACGAGGAGCCTCCTTGACCCGGAGCTGAGGGTACTTGGCCAGGCAGCTGGTTCTCTTTTCTCTCTTTATTTCACCAAACCTGACAGCACATGAGCCAGCCACAGGTTGTTTGGGCTGGGGACCAGTGCCTGGTAGTGATTAGGCGGTTCTGGGCTTTGAGGATTAGACACAGCCCCGAGGTGACCAAGAAGCGATTTCTCACGGCAGTCTCTTTTAGCACCTATCAGAGGAGAAGACACCACCCTCGAGAGCTGGCAAGCATGGGAACAAACAGCTTGGCCTGGGCTTTGGTTGCATTTCACACTGGAGAGGATTCCTTCTTGTTCAGCATGAGCTCCTAGATGTGGCTTTTAATATGTTTGTTGCTGTGTCATTGATTTCTCCCCATGAGCAAGTGGAGAAAATCGTCAAGAGCTGGGGCAGAACCAGGCTCTTGGGGATCAAGAAATGTGCCCCACATTGGGTCTTAAAAAACCCTGGTATCTTTTATCAAATGTGAACATTGTCACATAGCCCCCAGGTGACAGAGTCAGATTATTCAAGGTGCTGACTGTTTAGCCAGGTCATGTTTCTAAAATCAAAGGAGTAGTTTTTATTGGCATCATCATGTTGTAGAGAAAGACGCTCAATCTTGTCTCTCACTTTAAAAAACTTGATGAGCACCTTTATTCAACAATGAGTGTTGCTCAGGTTGCAAAAGCAGAGTTTTGCTCGGCCCATCTCTTTTAACTGCTGCTGAAAAGACATCTGCTCAGTGGCCTTGGTTTGATTGTGCTTGCTATTTTCTCCATTTCTCTCAATGCTGAATGAAGATCAGGAGGTATATTGTTGCCTGCCAGCTGCTTGGTGAACAAGCGTGAGGGCTGGCATTCCTGAGCTAGTGCCTCCATCCATGGAGCTGTGCCCTCCCCTGCTGCCCATAGGGTGGCTGAGTGTCAGTTCTGATCCCTGTGTCCCTTTCCAGCCCACATCGTGACTCACAAAGTTACCATCAACTTAACCTCCAAAGTTCTCTCTTGCAGCATCAATGCTGAGTGATGAACAGGACCCAAATAAATCACAGAGCACATTTCCCTTATATATGTACAATAACCAAGCTTCAGGTGACAGAAGAAAATCCAACTGTAAGTACTTTAATAAATAAAGTGCATTCCTGGGGATATAGTAAAAAACCACAGCTTTTTATTTTATTACTTGTCTTCCTCATCCCACAGGTAGCTCCACTCTCTGGTTTAAGATGGCTGCTCCACCTCCTGCCACTGCATCTGCTTTCTAGCCTATGAGAAGTGTAGAAAAACAAGAGAGGTATACATCTTTCCTTTTGAAGGCATGAGTGGGAAATTGCACAATTTCTCTCTGTTCTCATTTCATTGGCCAAAATCCAGTCACAGGACCATTGTCACCCTGCTTATTTAACTTCTATGCAGAGTACATCATGAGAAATGCTGGACTGGATGAAACACAAGCTTGAATCAAGATTGCCAGGAGAAATATCAATAACCTCAGATATGCAGATGACACCACACTTATGGCAGAAAGTGAAGAAGAACTAAAGAGCCTCTTGAGAAAGTGAAAGAGGAGAGTGAAAAAGTTGGCTTAAAACTCAACATTCAGAAAACTAAGATCATGGCATCTGGTCCCAAAACTTCATGGCAAATAGATGGGGAGACAGTGAAAACAGTGACAGATTTTATTTTTGGGGGGGTGGAGGAGGGGCTTCAAAATCACTGCAGATGGTAACTGTGGTCATGAAATTAAAAGACGCTTGCTCCTTGGAAGAAAAGTCATGACCAACCTATACGGCATATTAAAAAGCAGAGACATTACTTTGCCAACAAAGGTCCATCTAGTCAAAGCTATGGTTTTTCCAGTAGTCATGTGTGGATGTGAGAGTTGGACTATAAAGAAAGCTGAGCACTGAAGAATTGATGCTTTTGAACTGTGGTGTTGGAGAAGACTCTTGAGAGTCCCTTGGACAGCAAGGAGATCCAACCAGTCCATTCTAAAGGAAATCAGTCCCGAATATTCATTGGAAGGACTGATGCTGAAGCTGAAACTGCA